GTGGCCATGCAATGAACTGCGGAACCCAGCTGGGAAGTGGGGAACACTGCAGGCGGCACAGTGGTGTCAGAACTGGGGAGGGAGGGGGGTTGACCCCAGCCTCAGAGGAACCAGCCTTGGGTCGCTGGTGTGGATGAGTCCTGTGGAGACTGACTCTCCTGCCCCAGATGCAATTAGAGGGGGTCAGACAGAGCTGCCCCCAGACCCTGTCCTTACAACGACCTTCTCTCACACCCTGCAAGGCACCTGCGAGCACTGGGTGTGTCCCAGGGAAGGGGATTGAACAGATGACCATGCTGAGGGTCACCTGCTGGTTTAATCTTCATGATCATCCCATGTGGGTTTGGGAGGCAGGGGGAGTGGTGAATAAGAAAACTGTGGCTTAGACCTGGAAGCACTCTGGCCCCAGAGTCATCCCTCCTCAGACAACCTCTGGAGGGTCCACAACGTCTGCCGGGAATTCTGCAGGTCACGGTGCTAACCTGCCCACACTTCCTAGTTCCTGGACCCACAGGCCCCAGAAAGTACCATGCAATCTAGGAAGAAAGTAGCTCCCTAGGCCAGAGGCTGTTTGATTGCTGCTTCCGGGGCTAATGAGTCACTGCGTCATGGGTCCCAGGCCCTCTCTGAGCACCCACGCATTGGCTCTGGCTCCCCTGGCCCTGGGAAGAGGAGAGCTCTGTCCCTCGAGCGGAGACCAGTCCAGTCCTAAGAGAAGCTGTCACCGACAGGTCTCCTTCCTGACCTGGGCTGGCTCCTGTTTCACTGAAGCTCAGGATCGCTGAGCTCTTCTGAAAAAAAAAAGACCGGTGCCCCCACCGCACACGTGTCGCAAACAGCAGCAAAGCATCGGTGGGATGGAGTTTTCTTCAGCCCAACATTTACGAAGAGCAGGAAGAGACGGAGGAAGGAGAGAGACAGGAAGGAGGGAAGCCAGGAACGGACCACGTAAAAAGGACTCCAAGCTTCCGACCGACCTGACGCGGGCAGTCCCATGCGTTACGGAGCAGAACTGAGCTCCATACGCTCTGCTTGGCTGTAGCCTTTATGGACGCCGGTGACCAGGCCTTTCTTCCGCATTGCTACTGCATGGCTTTGAATGGCCACCCATTTGGTTCGCCCAGTTGACGGGGCACTGCCAGGCACAGATATATGTACGCTGTGGCCCTTCTTCTCAAGGAGTTCACATTCTAGAATGGCTGCCTAACTACCTGGCAGCTGTATTTTAACTTGGGGAGGGGGGCTGAGTAAGGGAAGGTTTGTAAGAAAAATACAATAGACTCAAGAGCTTGGGCACGTGGCAGGGCAGCAACAGCATGGAGGAGATGGGTTGGCAGAGGGGCTGCCACCGTGGGCTCCAAGGGCACAGCCAGTGTGAGGATGGCCGGGCTGGGGCAGCACCGTGCTGTTGGGCACGCGGTCGCTAGCAGCCGAAACCTACAAGGCCAGCAAGCCTGCATGGGCGGGAAACTGGAGCTTGTTGGGATTGAAAGACATTGATGAAAGGTGACCGACCAAAGCCATCGCCTGGATGCGCTGTGAGGACCACGCTCATGCCACACTCGTCCGTCCATTAATCGCAGAACCACTGAGGGCCTGCTCACTGCCCACCAGCACAGGGACAGGGTTGGGAGCTTCCCAGAGGGTTGTCCAGTTCGAACGTGAGCTCATTCCACTCGCATCCCAAGCTATCCCCCCGTCCCCCAACAACACACACACACCCCATCACCGCCCCTCTTGGGACATGCCATCACGTTATCTGTCCTGTCTGTCCTGTCCCCAGGCCTGGGGTCAGTGCTGAGGGAGGTCAGGCACCATTCAAGCCAACATCAGGTGACTGGCCTCACCTAAGGCCCTTGAAGGTAGCACCACTGGCTACCTTACATTGGGGGTCAAGTGACAATGGCCAACCCTTCCCTCGGATGTGGCCACCATCCCACCTCTCGGGAAGTGACTCATCTCCACTGTGGGAGTGTGACCGCCCTGTGCGGGGTGTCTGGGAACTGAGAGGAAGCACCTGGGCAGGAAGCCCTGGGCCCCCACGCCCACCCGCCCCACGCCCACCAAGGGGGCATCTCCGCTGCCGTCGCCCGTTACCGCTGCAGCGAACACCGTCCTCCTCCAGTTCATAGCCGGGGTCACAGCGGCAGATGAAAGAGCCATAGGTGTTGACGCAGGTTTGCACGCAGGGGTTCTCGGCGGCACACTCATTCACGTCTGTGAAAAGCCAACACGTGTCACTGCCCACCCCCGCCACACAGCAGCCAGGAAAACACACTGGCAACCAGACCTGTGACCTCTCCTCTCAGGGCCCAAACCCAATCCAACTCCCCGCCATCGAGCCAATACTGACGCAGAGAGACCTACGGGACAGGGTAGAACTGCCCCGTGAGTTCCCAGGACTGGAACTGCTGACGGAGTAGAAAGCCCTATCTTTCCCCGTCAGACCCCAACATGTTTGCTAAAAGGACAAGGATCTCCCCGTGTATGTTCTTCTCGGGGTACGGGTCTGGAAGGGGGCACACGCGTGTGTACAAGCTGGTCAGTCCCTTCTCCAAGGCTCACCAGCAGGAACCCCCGGTGAGGCCTGCTCCTGCCCCCACCCGCTCGTTCCAGCACCAGCTGTGCCCTGGCACCCATGCCGCCTTTAAGGTCTCTGGTCAAGAGTGGAGGGCATCATGCAGAACGGCATCTATTCCACATCTCCAGCTCCACATATTAGTCGGGGGTGGCACCCCCAGATCTCCCTCCTGGGTCTGCCTCCTGGGTCACTGCCCCAGCTGACCATCAGGGAAAGAGGCTAGGTCAAAGAGAGGGCTGCACGGGGCACTGAGAAACGCTGGGGAGCAGGGGATCCGTTCGCCACGCATGGTGAAGGGTGCACCACCCATGTGTCAAAATGCACACCACCGTGTGCCTGGATCATGCGGCTGATGACCACTCCAGGAGGAGGGACACATCGTCGTCGTTTTCTTGAGGTTGAGAGAGATGCTCGCGTCCAGCCAACAAGGACCCGGTAAGAACTAGAATATGAGTTGGGGCGGGAGGGGGGGGGGCTCTCCAAATATCAAAGACTCGTTCTGCACAGCTCAGCCCAGGGAGGGGTGGGAGCGGGCAGAGGTCCCTTTCTGTCCGGGTGCTGACTGGCTCATTTGAGGGAGAAGAGGGTCATCGGCCCACAGCCAGGTGCCTGTCAGCAAAGTTTCCACAGACAAGAGATTTCCCGGACCCCGTCAGGCAGGGTAAAAGGCTCAGCCTCTGAGGGGAAAGGCTGAGGCTGTGTAGAGAGGAGGGGCTTCCTAGTGAGAGGGTTTTCTTAAAGGGGAGGACCGGGCCCACAAAGTGAAGGTCACACAGCTCCTGTTTCCTGGCATCTGCAAAGGCAGCCAGGTAGGAGAGTGGGTCCCCTGAGAGATCATGGGAGGGTGGTGGCCACTCCTACCACTCAGGAGACCAGGACAGTGGCCACGGGGTAAGCCACTGAGTGGCAGTCCAGGCAGCACTTGGGATGACCAGGGCTGGTGGTGCCAGTCTGACTAGATGCTTGCCACACTAAGACCATGAACTTGAGTCTTGTCCTTACCAGGGTTCTGTCCCCTGGGTTCCCCAACAGCCCTAATGTCTCATCCATGCATACCGGCCTGGTTGACCTTCTGAACCTGCACCAGACAAGCACCCCCACCTTCGGGACAAGAAGGCTGCATGCATACTGGGTCCGGCTCTTGTCCCTGCCCCCCACCTGGCTGTGGGATGGGGGGGAGCTGCTGCACCGCTTCACCTTGGTTTCTTCTTCTGTGACACAGGGCCACAGACAGGGCCTTGCCCACCTCTGAAGG